GTGGGTCAGAGAGAAAGAGAGCAAGAGGAGGAGGGAAACCCCCCTGGTGACAAGAAACCTGTCAGCACAGTTGAAAATCGATTTTAATGGCAAATGGCGCAGCACACACATATTGAGAGGCACATGGGCAGCACCTTCCACAGGCCTCCATAATCCTGCCCTTCAAACATGTTCACTTTATTTCTCTTGTTAAACATTTCATTCTAAAAAAGACAATCTGTTCTTAAGAGTTTCCTGGCAGTTATTACTCATGACTTTGTTTGCTTGTTCTCCTCAACAGCCTTTGTGGTCTTTTGAAAATATGGATTCAGGATCCAATAAAACAAAATGACTCAGTGTTTTAAAGGCGCTGAAGATGCCCTGAGGTAGAGCAGGTTTTCTTTCAACATGGCAAGCAAGGTGACACATGGAAACCTCTGAGTTTCATCAGGGTTTTTATTGATAGCTGTCAGCTCAAGTGTTGTATTTGATATATTTTATATCTTCTGATTCTCTGAGGTTGAGCATTTTATTGCCTGAGGACCTCATCAGATGCTTTATAATTCTTCCTTTTAGTGTTTTACAACTCCATCATCTCCTCCATTGCTTGACTTGGATAACTGGAGTACTCTGGGTCTTAATCAGAGTTTCAAGCTTGTGCATCTTATTATTGCCCAATGACCTCACATTCCCAATGTGATGGTAGCTAGAGCACAGTTTACATTCCTTTTATTTAGTTCGTCACTGAACTCCTCATCTGCTCTGTGTTTATTTATAAACAAAAGTGGGGCATAGAAACGACTCTTGGTCGATGCTGTTATCAGATTCTCCCACATGCCATCCTTTTAATGACCTTATCAGACAGGAAACACGTGCTTGTTTGAGCTGACGTGATCGGTTTGCTTTTAAGCACATTGATGACAGTTATTAGCTCCGAGTGGTGCGGGAAGGAACATTATGTTTAGTGGAGCCCTGCTGACACATGAATGTGATTGTGGAAAACATATTTGACAGACAGAATGTGAATCACTTATCTGGTCATGAGTGATGAAGCGTTAGCTTGAGAGCATGGTGATGATCTGATAAGAGACTGAATTAGGCCACATGGTCTCTGATGGCGAGTGTGACTGTTGCACACTGTGCAAGTCATGCATAGCCAGCTCAGCACAGCAGAGAAGGGTTTTCACAGTGTCAGATATTCAAAGACGAGCAGTTTTGTCTCCAAAATTGTTCTTATTTTATTTATTTGAGAATATTTGCTGGAGGTTTTAGGTCTGAAATATTGCATCTCAGAAAGCAATACTTGCAAGATTTGGAGTTGGATCAGATTGATAGCAGAAAGTAGGAGCAAGGCCTAGTATGGGTAATAATAAAAACCTGAAACCTTCAATGACTTATTGAGTTTTCAAGTTACCGGCTGACATTAAAAAACCTCCACTGGGTGGTTCCACAGAGCTGCAGTGGCTTTTCATTTAGTCAGGACAGCATTTTGGAGTAAAACATGTTTAATTCTTTATAGTTACTAAACACAGTCAGGTGGAAGCAACCCCTCCCTGAGCCTGGTTCTGCCGGAGGTTTCTTCCTGTTAAAAGGGAGTTTTTCCTTCCCACTGTCGCCAAAGTGCTGCTCATAGGGGGTCATTGTTCATTGTTGTAGGGCCTACCTTACAATATAAAGCGTCTTGAGGCGACTGTTGTTGTGATTTGGAGCTGTATAAATAAAATTGAATTGGATTTGACATAACTCTTTAAAGTAAATCCAAAAATCATTTTTTGAGTGCACAGCATTGCAGCGAAGTAACACAAACAACTGAAAAAATGATTCTTTAAAACCCACAACAGTGAGATTTCACTGTTTTTATTACTGTTCATTGCTCACAGTCTTATTTAAGCTTCAAACTTGTGTTTCTGTTTGCATTTGTGTCGAGCAGCTCGTTGTAAAGCATGTCCTGTCTCTTTGTCGCCTCCAGACAGTCTTCCACGACGAATGCAAGTTCAAGGAGAGCTTGCTCGCGAACAATTACAACGCCTACGAGTCTCTGGTTTACAGAGGATCCTACATCGCACTCAGCAAGCATGGCCGCGTGAAGAGGGGCAACAAGGCCACAACTGCCATGACTGTAACGCACTTCCTACCCCGAATATGACGAGCAAAAAGTGGCAATAACAAACGTATTTGCACATGTGGATTATCTCCCAGGTAACATAAATACCGTATACTACATACAAACACAAAAAAGATAAAAATGGACTATAAAATAAAGAAACACAGTTATATCTGATAGTATTTATTCAAACTTTATATGTATATTTGGGTAGTTTACTTTGTATTAGAAATGATCAAAAATGCCATTCTTTGCTGCTTTTGTGATTTTCATCCTTTTATGATATGAAGGGCACGGAGAGGCGTCGTTTGTCCCCTCTGGTTTTATGGGTGCTTGCTGGAATTGGTTGAGTTTTTGCCCTGTCGGTGGATGACAGCTCATCTTTTTCAAATGGATTTGTTATTACCTCAAAGCACCGTGTCCCAAGGATGTAGAAAAATGTGTGCATGAAATTTTTACACAGAAGAATGCCTGTTTACTTCTAAGGTTTTTTTGTTTGTTTTTGTTGTTGTCGTCGTCATCATCTATCAAGGACTATAGACATTTCCCATCCGTTGCATTTGCGTGTCTCTGTCACGGTCAGGGCAACTAGAGCACTTGAAAAAATAGCGGTTGTTTTTTTCTTGCTTTGTCATGAGGTGGCGGTGCCTTGAATTCCTTCTTGCGGCCCCCCCTTACCCTTGCATGCGAGAAATGTGGTGCTCAAGTCAGAAATAGGAATGATACGCAAGTCATCACTCCCTCAGACACCACTGGGGGGGCTTTAGCCCAATTCCTAGAGGGCCAGAAGTTTTTTCACTTTATTTTCTTTCCATAATTAGATCAATTTAGTAAGCGAGACTCTACGCTGCACAGGACCCAGTGGAGCCTCTTGTTAAAAAGGAAAGCTGGATTTGGAGTCGCCATCACCTCCAAGGGAGCTTTGACAATCCCGGGGTTCGTTTGAACAGTTTTTGTAGCCGGATCATCAGTCCAAACTGAAAATGTGAATGTTTATGCATTGGCTTTCATCATGTATGCGGATTTGCCTGTTTTCTTCCTTTACATGGCGGAGGGACAGAATATCATAGACCTAACACTATGACGCAAAATACCCTCCATCTCTGCCTACTGTACATTTCCCCCGGTTCAAGTCGGTGCCGTCTGTTGCATCAGGCCTCTTACTTTACACTGCAAAGTTTATGTGACGATGAAGTTGGTTAAAGCAGCATGCTGAGTAAAATTACAGAGCAGGCACGGTCTGCTGCTTTAACTCGAAATAAATCGAGTGAAAAGCGACATTTACTCTCAGTTCAAGATCCTGGGATTTGCAAACGATCCTTACGGTGTCTCCGTTTTTGATATTTAGATAAAGCGGATCGTTTATGACAGAGTTTTTATGCATTCTTCAGATTGGTCACTGAGTCTCACAGGAGAGCGCCGAATATGAGCTGAACCAAAGGGTTACGTTAGTGATGTTCATTCAGGCTTTGCATATACAGCATATCATACTTGAATTTAACAACCTCTCATGCTCCTCTTTCTAATACTGCAATTTTCCATAGTAGAAACGAGAGGGCACAAGAAGCAAACAAAGCAAACGATAGCTAAGATGGACAGAGGAATCACTGAGTGTTTAAGTTGACGAACATGTGGATAATATCGGGTGAAATACCTGCGTGGCAGACTCGTGGGTCTCCTGTTAGTTAATCTTAGACTGGACGGTCATCGCAGGGACCTGAGAATCCTGTGCATCTGAGCCATTTTTGCGCAAAGGTCAGAGACGTGGGCGATTTGCCCTCTGTGTTATTCGTGTAGCTGTGTTTCAGCCACGTCATTTTTGCTTTCTAAAGTTTAAAACCTGTTAGGCCATTTTCCTGATGAAAACAACGACAGTTGTCCTGTAATGTGCAATGAAAGTACTAATGATTTTCGCAACTTCTCAAGTATTTTAAATGCTGGAAGGAGGTGCTATCAAGCTGGCTTTGACCTTCATTATGCTACGAGTATAAGGCCAGCTCGGTGAAATATGATTAAAAGGAAGTAGCGAGGCACTTGTAGATATGTTATCATATTTTACCTCATGCCCTTTTAAACACTACTGCAACTCACTGACAGAATGTCTGTGAGCAATGGTTTATGCGCCCTTTAAGCTCCAGCTTCTGTCTAGTAGCAGAGACGAATGTGTGCGTAAGCACGTATGCATGTGTCCGACTGAGCACACTCCTGTCCTGTTCTGTTTCAGCCGGAACGACTGTAGCGATGATCAATTTACCTTAAGTCGGGAATGACGAGGCATTGTCCAGCCGTGCAAACTGACGCACGGTAGTAACGGAGAGGACAAAGATGAGAGCGACTGGAAGCAAAGCCAGTGAGTTGAGGGATGCGTGCAGCAGAAAAGCGCTGACTGTACAACAGCTATGTAGCAAAAGGCCTCGTGAAAAAGAATCAAACGCTTCCAGGAGAGGGGATGCTTATTTCTGAATACTGTGATCCAAGAGAGCAACTTGAAATGCCCAGGATGTCATGTGTGTATCTGAATATCAACACCACTTATAAGTGTCTGTGGGGGATTTTGCCTTGAGCATCTTATTTGTCATTATGAGCGATCAGCCATCGAAGCAATGATCACATGTAGCTTTTTCTCTTGGCTGACCACATGAGGAAAAGGTCAGAGAGCTATTTTTGCTAATTTATCCAAAATATATAAAAGGTGCGTTTTTAATGGAGTGCAGAAGCAGTTAGCTGACGCGAAAGAATAAAAGCACGTGGTTTTGATGACGAGTAGTTTCTGTACGGCCCTGAGAGACACTGTCAGCACTGCAGGAACAGGAACGCCACAGCAGTTCCTCCAACATGACGCTTTCTGTTGAAATCGATATTGTGCACACACCAACTAAGCTTGGTTTTTACTTTCTAAGACTAAGGAAACATTTACTGTCGCAATTGTACGACTTTTGCATGTTGCTGTTCAGAGGCATAAAAGGTTGTATGATACCGCAGTAACGGAGAAAAGGTCCTTAACCTTTACTTCCTCAAGTCCTCATTATGCATGTAGTGTTCTGAACGGACTAGGTTTGTCTTACCCCTTTGATTAAGGATCCGGATCCAGGTCTGGGTTTTGCCATTGCGCTCATTATATATCTGTTCAGCTGGTTTCAAAACGTGTCGGTTCGTAGGGAACCGAAGGCCTGCGGGCGGCTCTGGGATCAGACTCCCGGTGTGCCACCGGCAGCCTTTGTGTTTCTCTCTCACTTTTCTATTCCTGCACTGAAAGGAGAGTACTTCCTCCGAGTCCACCCCACCCCCTCTTTTTTAACATATACCTCACCTTCTGCCTTAGTTCCGATTATTGAAATGATTGTAAATTAGTTTGAAACAACAGACTTCTCCAATCATTTGTTTCTGAAAAATATGATGATGAGTAAGTAAAATAATATATTGCAAATGGTTTTCCTTTTATTTTTGTACGTATGTGCTGTGCACAGCAGTCAACTGTATTCCTGAGACGATAATAAAATACGTTTTTGTAAAATCTGTCGCGAATCTTTTATTTTATTGTGTCTAAGTTACTTCACACGCGCATGACAGGAATGACGGCAAAGACCAGAGAAAATCCGAGTACCTGCAGCCAAAGTCTTTTTCATGAGTCAGTATGTAGCGCCCCCTCCTGGTGAAGAGGAAGGCACACTATGTATGTTTTTGTTTTTTTGCAGGTGTAGTTGCAAAGAAATTGGGTCAAGAACACAGCAGCCCTTTATGTTGATCTCATTTAAATTTTAATCTGAAAAAATATGATTTTGCTCCAATTACAATATAAGCAAAAACAAACACTAGCATCAGTTTGAATAGTGTGTGATTTCATTAAAGGCCATACAGTAACATGAATCTTCATTTTCCTCATGAATATGTGACATACTGCTAGTTTATATAGCTTCTGCTATAAATATATGCCATATAATCGCAGATCATCTGCACAATTTGCAATAAACATTACATTAGTATTCAAATGTAATCTTCCTTTGATGTTTGAGTTTGAAAGTTTTTTTCCCATTTTAAATAGACATGAATAAGAATGAGGCCAGGCTTTAATTACAGGGCGGAAACTCTTGTAAAAGATAACGGGAGCAGCGGAAGTGTGTGCAGTTTAATAATAAGCACAGGATAAATCATTTAGCCTGAATGGCAGTCAGCCTACTGTGACGCAACAGAGGGTCAGTCATTAAGAAACGACCAATTTTAGACGAATCTAATTGATCTTTATATAACGCTTTCATAAATGTTAGATTTCTAACAACACGTGAGGTCAAGTAACAAGAAATATGAGCAAAAATTGTGAAAACCCGTCATTAATGTCAAAGAACGACCATCAGTCATTTCTTCTTCTGCACTTTCTTATCTCTAGACTTTAAGCTCTGTGCTAGATTTTGTTAGTTAAACTTGAACACATGAGAAATTTTACTTCCACGTAGGGGAGAAACTGTTTTTTATGCATGTGTGATGCATCGTGTTTCCATACAGCTTACTTCAATTGCATCTAGGCAACCCTTAACTGCTGCAGCCAAGCTTGGAGTCATTTTGGTAAATGAGTTAGCCAGTTTATTGACCCTCTGTTTAAATAGACCCGTTGGACTTTCTCCTCCTCCAGTAGCGGACCACATACCATCCTGAACATTCGTGCTTTTAGAAGGCCTTTAATTGCCATCGATCATGCAACTGGCTTCCTTCTTAGTCATCCTGATTGCTGGACATGTGTCTGTACCAGTGGATTGTAGGCCAAGGCTCCAGGATTCAGAACAACTAGCTCAACATCAGCAGGATCGATTGAACGCGGCAACAAATGCAGATCCATCTGCCGGTATGGGACGCTTCTACTCTGTGCTGAATGGATCAATGAGACACAGCATTTACAGCGGCTTTCTGGGTAAGTCTGCGTATAAACACACAACTGGAACCGCTTATACAGACAATCCTCTGCAATAATAAAGGAAACTGTTAAGTATGACCGACTTTGCTTACTTGATTTTGAAGAGGGTAAATATCAGCTTTGGATCTGAAAGGAAGTTCAGGAAAATTAGAGAAAAACTGAACCAAACAAAACAAAAAAGAAAGTTTGAGATTAATTCTGTACATTTATAAACTTCAAAATATATTTTCAAATTTAAAAGCAGAATATTGTTAATCAAATAATTTTTCTTGTTACATTTGTTAATAGAAAATGTGCTTTTTTTCAGTCACTTTGCCTGTGAGAACAGCTTCCAGCAACTTTGTGTCAATATTTGATTTGAGAAGAAAACATTTCATCTGCATGGACTTTAAGGGAAAGCTGCACATATCTGTGAGTATTGTTTTAGATGTTCTTAGTTTGAATGAAGTCACAAAGTGCCAAAAACAGACCATAAACATTTTCTTTCTACCAAACAGAGGCAAAGGGACAGAGAAGACTGTCTCTTCCAGGACATTTGGTTAGATTTAGTAAGCCACCATCATGTGTTTTACTCTACAAGCGGGAGAAGGCTGCTCAGACTACAAGGAGGTCATCTGCGAGTGGCACATGGCGAGCCGCCTGAACACTACTTAGCCCCGCTGAAGAGGCTCTTGAATCCCTCGGTTAAAAGACAGAGAAGGAGCGAAGAGGTGAACCCCTCTGATCCTTTACGAACAGAAGCAAATCCCTCACGTTCTGGAAAAGATCTCAGAGATGCAGATCACGTTCGGCCTGAACAGGATCAGACGGGCGCTGTGTCTAAAGAGACCATCGCCTCCTGCGACGACCCCCTGTCCGTCTTACAGCCCAACGCGCCTGGAAGCCCTGTGAAGACTAACATTGCAGACCGGGCAGACCAAGCCTAAGTCGCCCAGCATCACTCATCCATAGAAGATATTTCCCGGGATAAATCTGGCTGACCATTAAGAGCCATAGAAACCTTAGTCCCTTATTTCTAGACCTGGTTGAAAAGGTCTGAAAAGACCTGTTGATTAGAGGCCGAACTGACATCTAAACTCTGCACAGTCGTCGAGGCTGAAGTCTGTTCAAAAGCAAAAGTTTATTGGACACAGATAACAGCCGTCGCTTCAGTGGTGCACATGCAGGTGTCTGTTTTTGTTTGTTGGGATGTGAAATGGTTGGACAGTAAAACAGTGTCTGCTTCAGGTCCACAACTAGAATTAGTGGATTGTCTTTTTCAAAATATTAAAACACATCTATGCTATTTATATATGCATATATCTACACGTAAGCAGGTTTTGTCTCGGTGTCTGATGCATGGTGTGTGAGCTTCTCACAGGGTGGGCAGCATGTCAGTGCTGCCTGACAGTAACAGTGAGTGGCTTTGAATCTGCTGGTCGTCTGAGGAGTTTGCACCGTCCCAAAAAAGGAAGATCACGTTTCTAATGAACTCAAACGGTGTCTTTGCACTTGTAAAGTCATGCTTTGCTGGGTGGGGAGATACTGACCTTCCCTGAGTTTTTATGGATCTAACCCTTTTGTATGTACTCATAAACCAAGTTACATCACAGGGGCTCGTGCAGGTCTCCTGTTTGAAGATAATGGTCTGGGAACACTCGACATAAGTTTGGTCCAGTTTGCTGCTGTCCTTTAACCTCTTTGGTGAGGAGAATTTGAACCCCTGGGTCAGATATGTCAATATTTGTTCAAATAATTGTTTAAATCATCCAACAATTCTTGAAGTGTTGCTGAAAAACAGCAACAAGAACAACAAAAAGACGAATGATGCTGTTGTGACTGGGAAAAAAATATCTCCTGTATGCAGCTTCCATAAAAATGTCAAAAATATATCAGGTGCTGGACACCAACAGTCACAGCAATACAAACGTATTTATTTATTGAGCTGTTTTAATGACGTCCTTACTCGCCTACTGTTTTATTATTTATATATATTGGTTGGTGTATCATTTCTGATGTTAATAAAATAAATTGTAAGTATCTGGAACATCTTTTGTTTCTTGTTTTAAGCAGAAGATGAGTCATTTTCAAACGCACGGCCGAGACATTTCTCGTGTGCATTATTGTCAGATTACGTCCTCCTCCTCTAAGATGCCTGTCAAACAAAAATAAACGGGATCTGCAAACGCAAAAGTCCCAGTTAGCTGAAAGTATTTGAGTGATTTAAGATTAAAACACTCTTTTAAAATCTTACTGACAACAAGTGTCACACAGTTATCATGAAGGCAGCCAGTTGGTTATGTAATCGCGGTCAAATATTGTCCAACTGAAGTAAAACAGAACAAAAACAACTAAAATGACCTAAATAATGAAGCCCACTTACAGGAATGAAAATTAAAGGTACGCAACATGAAAAGATGAATAAATAAGAACCAGCTGAGTTTATCGAAACGACTTTATCAGGAAAGAACCATCACAGGTGCAAACGTACATTTTTACATCAGTAAAGCATTTCAGTCGTCGCACACGCCACAGACTCCTTTAGCTAAGAAACAGCAGCTTTTACTCTAAATAAATGTGTGGACTGAAAAACAGCCACACAGAGTCCGTTCACACGTTCCACAGTTTAATGGGCTCGTAACATTCGTCTGTCCTTGTTGACTCAAGTGTTAATTCACAACAATGGAAAAGTAACTGATTTCCAAAAAGTAAACACTACTCCGAGTTCTTGTGCAGATTTCTGGACCCCTACAGGATAAATTCAGAAACGAGGCCTCGCTAAACCACAGAGTCGCCCACGTATGTAGTAATGAACAGCCAGACAATAACAACGCGATGATGAAATTTCCTGCAACACAAACGATCCGAGGCTGAGCGAAGGTGCTTTAATTACTGTTTAGACGAACCCTAAGAAAAGGACGTAAAAGGTCACGATCTGCGTTTCACGTGGTCCCCTCTGTGGATGAAAACACAGCGGATCCCTGATAATATGAACTCGTCGTCTTGTTTCCTCACGGTTATTATAAACCGACAAAGGCCCGTGTTCGGACTGAGAGAGAACACGTGTGCTTGATCAGAACCCAGAGGTAAGCGGCAGTGCAATTCCTCCACAAAGTAGCGCACCACCACGCACATGTAAGCCCCATGGGTGACCACCAAAGCATGGACGGGGATATCCTTGACCCCATCGTCGGCCTTCCCCTCAGTAGGAGTCGCCTGTGACGGAGCAGGTAACGACGAGTCGTCCTGCCCTCTCTCGCTGAAGTGTTCGGCCCCAATTTGCTGAAGCATTTTCTCCAGAAACTCTTTGAACCGCATCTTCACCTGAGCAGAGCAAAAATCTGTTATGAAAAGTTCTCCTGCTTCTATTGTTGTACATACTGTAGAATGAGACCCAGGCTTCCTACGGCGCTGAGGGATGAAGGTTAAAGGTCGTTTTATTCATAGTCACGTCCTTTGGTATAAAAACTGCACATCTTTCTGATGCAACAACCTGCAACTTGTTTAAAAAAGGGAGGGAGCAGGCCTTTTGCAGAGGATTTGAGTGCTCTGTGCTTGTGTCAAATCTATATTTGAAGATCAGCGTCACCATCACGATGTGCTGGTCACGTCCTGGATTTGACCAGAGTTCATGTCCAAGCTAGAACATAATGGACGAAGTCTGACGAGGTATCTTGGAAATAGAACATCCTTCCCTCCAACAACCCCTCCTCCTCCTCACATCCTGTCCTCTCTCACACACGCACGCACACAGACACACACGCGCGCGCCACGCACGCACGCACGCACACACACACACACACACACACACACACACACACACACACACACACACACACACACACACAGGCATGTACTTTGATCAGCCCAACGTTCTTTCACAGATTCACAAGAAACTCAGTCATGCTGATGCAAAGAAGACAATGATATGCTAATCATAACTTTATAGAGCTAGGAGGTGAATGCTTCCTGCCACCTAGTGGAAGTATGTGTACATTACACCAAGATACCTCGTGTCAATCCAGAGTGTGCAGAAAGATTTAATTTTAGTGTAATATGTGCAAAAGATCCCACTTTAGAAAAAAAAGCCTAAGTGGGATCTTTTGCATCAGAAACATATTTGAAGGAATATATAAAGGAACTGGGCAGCACGGCGGTGAGCTGGTTAGCACTGCAGCCTCAGTTCTGTGTCTCTCTCTGTCTTTGCTCAGACCGGTGACCTGTGAGTACTTCGAACTCAAGACTTCATTTTAATCTTAACTAAACAACTGTAAAACTTTATGGCTATATCGTGCTGGAACCAAGCACTCAAATGCACCTTTGTGACTGATCTTTATACACGATGTGTTACCAGGAACCACATTAACACACAAACATGAAGTAAATAAATAAATAAAACCAGAGGCCTGTGCTAAGAAGCAAGATTTCATATTGTATGGGTAACGTCAGGGCTAACCCTGGGTTTTCTGTATGTCCACGGTAACCTATGCTAACCTGCTCCAAAGCAGGTCCGGTTGACCAGCTGACCAATCGATTCTCTATTTGCATCACTGTGAGGGTCTAAAGTTTTTCAGCAGCATCTAATATCTTTGCATTTCCCTGTTGATCAGTACGAAATATACATTCTTAGATAGAGCTTATTTTTTCCTGTTGGCTGCAAACAGTTTTACAACTAAAGCATGAACACATGATCCCATCTATTTGTATCCCACTTGCTGTCCTTATATCAAATGTGCATTTCAAACCAAGGCTGCAGCTGAAAGGATGAAACATTCGTTTAATCAAACAGTTGATTATAATCCATCAGATTTTCCCATGTTTTGATGACTAACTCAGCACTATTAATACTAAAGTGCTCTTCCACTCACGCTGCTGTGCTGTGTTTAACTTCTTCATGTTTTTGCTATTATATAATTCTCTTTGTAAAATCAGCTGATCAACTGCTGGTATTCTTATGCATAGCTGTGATTGGTCAGATGCTGCCAACACCACATCTCTCATGTGAATGCGGGTGGGAAACCCTCGGTAACTAAACGAGTTGACAGCCAGGTTTATGTGATCGCTTATCCTTACTGCCGATGATAGCGTGTATCCAGATAAAAGAAAGATACCCTGGGTATGTTGAGCCGCTCTATGGTTCAGGGGTCGGGTTCAAAAGATTACAGATGCTATTAATGTCCACATAAATAACAGAAAAGCAGATAATCAGCAGGGATGCAAGGACCTGACATCAATAGGGTGACTTTTATGGCCCGTGTTTATCACCAGTGCCACATCTGTTTTTGAGATGAAGAGTGGAAAAACAATAGAACTGTGAGTGTTTGTCATCTTTTTGTTTTTACTATTTTGTTGTTTCCCAAGAATAAAAAGAAAGTAAATAATTCAGTCTTGGCAATAGGCCTGAATATTATTTATTATTTTTCATTATCAGTGATCCAGAATTTCACCAAGACTCTCTCCTTTTACAATAAGACAACCTCAGCCTCACCTGCTCCTGCGTCTCTCCTCCCGGAGGTGTGAAGCCTGGAAACGTCTGACCAGCCGCCTCGGCCATGTCTTTGACGTCCTGTAACCGCCTCCCTTCAGCTATCCCAAAGCTCTGAAAGATCAACTTATTCATTGGCACGTAAACATCTGATCAATAAGTTTTCTCGTAAGTTTTGAGGTCACTCGCCTTTTCTATAAGCAGAGGGTCACACACCATTTCTAGAGCGGAACAGCTGCTGTTGTGCTTCATTATTGTTTCGGTGGTCTGGATGGAAAAACAAAAACAAAATGTAATCTGATTACAGAGAGGAGGAGGGTGGCTTTTATAAGTCTGCCACGAGTACTCAGTCAGAATTACATAAGTGCTCAGTGTTCAAAGGTCCGACTGCATTTATCTTCTAACTGAGCCTTCATTTAGATCTCATCTCCACACCTGTGAACTTTTATGACACACAGAAAGAAATCCACAGACTCACAAGATAAAATCAATCAATCAAACTGGATCTTTTGAAAGGCCAGACGCTTTTTTTACACTGCTGTTGTATAAGGTTCATAGTTTACCTGTTTTGCCCGCAGCATGTTGCTAACAAACACGTTGGTGAACTTGACATGGGCGAGGTATCGCCCTGCAGCTTCTGCCTGCTGCAGCCCAGCCTCAGACAAAGGTGCGTCTATAGCCTGGCCTGGGTGGAAGGAAAAGGGGAAATTAGAATAAAGCAGCTCCATTATTCTATTTTTTTTTTTACCCAAAACAAGCAATTTTATTGTAACGAAACAAATATTTAGAATCATTCTTTACCTTGCAGCAGACCATCTTTGTTGTACTGAGTTTCCCCACTGTAGGAAATAAATGACAGGAGATAACACTGACAGAGTTTGGTGCTCAACAGGCACTCGTTTGATTTCACATCTGTTACCACATGAATGCAAAGCTTTTATTACACCCAGCATGAACGTGTTGCTCACAGCCATGACTTTCTGTATGCCCAAACCTGTACTTATACTTTTAATGACGACTGGCTACTAACACGTCTTTTTGATGATTCAGTTATTTTGAATCACTTAATCAAAATGGCCAAAATAAATGCATAAATCAACAAATGTCAGGATAAAAAGAAATTCAGAAGTTCTCAGTTACAGATTGAACCCCAGTGACACGCAAACTGCAAATAAATGACAAAGACAACAAACATTTGGAGTCTGCACTGCTAATTTTGATTTTATTTTCATGGTATCTTCGGACAATATGTGGTGTGTGTAAGTGGTTTTACCTTTGACCCACAAAAATCCGTTTTTTGTTTTTGTAAATGAATGAACCTTTATTGCGTTTATTCTGCCCCCTGGTGGCCATCGTGAAACGTCGCACAGACTAAACAAACGGTACAAACCCGCTGGGAGAGTCACAGTCTTATCATATATTCTTATCATACGTATATTCTTATCATACGTATATTCTTATCATACGTATATTCTTAGCATATATTCCTCGTTTCAGCTTAGCAGCCGCTCTCCTTGAACTCCGGTTAAGACCACGATAGAAATAAACACATATCCGTCACTGCTACACGTTTTAAAACCCCTCCAAACACGACAGACTGAAGTCTGTCAAAGTACAAGTCGCGCTCCTCGGAACCCTGTGGTGCTGAACTTCATATATTATCGTCGGATGAACTTACTGTCGAACAAGGGTCAGCCCAAATGTTAGCGTTTTCATGCTGCGGAAGGCAGAGACCGGCACGAGTCTCACGGTGACGGAACACAGGAACACTGGTTTATGGCGTCAGGGGGAAATTACAGCTGCCCACAGAAGCGCATCACCCCCACAGATATATTTAGCCCGACACCATCCACTGCACGCTTGTAGGGTACAGATCTTATTATGAAGATGAACTCTGGAAAGGTGTCGACACACCTGTGATCAGTCACTGACTACGACATCCAGGGGAGATTATTTGAGCAGCTACTGAGATTGGGAGTTTTTCTTAAAGAGAGTCCAGGTTACAAAAAATTTAGACGTGCACATATGATGCATTATACTTGCATTATACTACTACACAGGTAGCTTATAGTACAAAAGTTGTATAATCGAAATATATTTCAAGTACCTAAAGTAAAGCTAAAATTACATAATAGTAAATAATAAGAAACAAACAAACATGTTTATCTGTTTGTAGGATATCAGTTATTTCTGGGGCCACATGCAAATCGGTCATATTTTCATGTACATGTGGAAGTTGCCAGATTCTGCACTTTTCTGTGTCAACAGAAAAAAAAGGCTGAATTGTAAACAAATTGGTGACTTTGAGTTTGTGTCAAAGCCTCAAGCTTCTGAAAAGCTGCAAACTTGTTTAACTCAAAATGTGCTGACTTCAAACAGTCGGAGTAGGAGCTGTAAATCTTTAATGCGTAACATCATCAGTAAGGAAGATCGCATATTAGTGTAAAAGCGCCTAATGCAACTGTCAGTGACAGGAGGAGCGGTACATTTGCAAAAAAGCATCATGGACCGGACCAGGCACGTGCAGAGGGTGGGGGGCGGAAGGGGCTTGAGCACGTGCCCCTTTCCTGATGGGTGCCCCAGGTGCCCTTTTTCCTGCCTGTGCCCCTCAACAATAATATTTAACAATTAATCACAGTTTTGCTAAATAAAAGGGTCTAGCTTGCATCAGTCACATGACTATCATTAACCAATCCTCGCACTTGACGGCAGAGCGCGCTGGTTACGAGCCGGAATGAGCTCGAAAGAGCACGCGCATTTTTTGCCGTTTGAGCGACCTCAAACCTTTCAGGAGGGCTTATATTCACTAAATATAAATAATATAAATGATAAATTATTAGATTGTGAATAATCTAATATGCATATCCACATAAATATGGAATTATTTAATTCAATTAAAACACACACACACACACACACACACACACACACACACACACACACACACACACACACACACACACGTGTTTTTAAAGAAAATGCATTAAGAAACAGATTATATTACATTTATATTTCAAATATGATAAAATGCTGATTTTACAGCAGCAACATTGTATCTCATTTAATAAACTTTCTGCCTGCACAGATAGTCAAACAAACTGAATCGCCATAAATACATTATTTTATATTTATTACTTAATTGTTTTATACTCGTTACTTTATTATTGTAGCACTAGGAATAAACAATAAGGGAAGGATTCTGGATCAGCACTATGATTCAAACTTGTGGCCATAGTATGTACAGAATCATTGAGAAGGTATAAAATGTCTCTGTATGTGCGTGTTTTATGTGTATAGATTTCTTTGAATTATTACTCATGATATAATATTGTCCAGACAGGCTCTGTAAGGACACGAGGAGGAAACAGTGACAGAAGGCGCCGTGTGAGGCAGCGGATCCGTGAGCAGCTGGATTACAAAGAGCACAGGTCACAATGACACCTGCACCAGTCGTTGCACTGCATTCAAGTATAAAAACAATAATAAACACAATGTTTTCGTTCTCTAACATTTTTCTATCATTACTTTATTATGGATGAGGTGGAGGAGTTTTTAAGTGTGGATAACTCAATAATAGATTAATTCAGTAGCAGTTTGTGCCTCGTTCTCAGATGGACAGGAAGTGGAGAGTGACAGATGAGACGAGGAGATGGAAGAGAGGCAAAGAGTGAGTCGCAGGCAGAGCGAGTTTACGTCTCACAGTTTTGTTGTCTTATGGTTCCAAGTGCTGTCACCATTCTTTACATTTTATTATTATCTCATAACTTGTTTAATCGGCTACCATCTCTCCTGTGGACTCTTTAATGTCTACCTTCTCAGATCAACACAGCCCTGCCCTCCAGCAGCAGCAGCAACTCCTCAACAGCAACATTGTATCCATCAGTAAAACTGTCACAAGGCGGGATGGACTCATGCGCAGACAAGGGAAGCTAAATGCAGTTCCTTTTAACACACAACACCAGGTGCAACTATATACAGGTGAGAGCGAGGGGGAATCCAGAGGGGCACAGGGGAGGTCCGGAAACAGGGGCTCTTCACACAGTTCCAAAAACACAACACACCAGCAACTCAGCTCGCCCAGGCCTCCAAGGGAAAGAGAATCCAAGGTTACTCAGTAGTCCAGCAATGAAATGTTTCCAGCTACTGCCTTAAGTAGTGGACGCTGGTGAAGTGATGAGCCACGGGTGCGAGGGCCAGGGGCGGGAGCCCGCAATGAGCTCCGCCCAGGCGACACACAGCGAGAGGGAAAGGAAAACAAGAAACATAGCCAACCTGGGTCAGCCGGGCAGACACGGGGACCATGACAAAAACATACATTTGCTTTGCATTGACCCCACCTGATGACAGTGATATCGTTTGATGCGTTTCCATATTAGATTCTTCATGAACGTGTTGTTGCTCTTCAGCCTGGTTCTAGGTGCCTCTTTTTAACTTTGAGCACCTGCCCCTTCAAACATCTCTGCACGGCCCTGGATTGCACTAAGGATATTATCCAAGGCAAAGGATGGTCAGAGTTTCTGTTTGAGAAAAACATGTTTTTAGCATAAATATTGACCTTGCATATTACCAGCCATTATGCCTGTTGTCATAATTTTAGGAAGACAGAGTGAACTTAAATCCCACATATGCAGTTATATGATGCTAACAATGTCCAAAATGTTTTTTGATAACTTAATTTTATAAAAAAAAAGGAAAATTGTATTGTAGTAGGACAATGTATATCAAAAATCCTATAATTATTTTATACTAATAATGTTATGCCTACATTTAAAATAAAGACCAACTGGGAATGTGATTTTTTTTGGCGTAGATGTTAAAAACAACTGGAAGGAATTTATTGTAATAAAATTTCTTGCATATATGCATTTACAATTTTCACATAACATGCTCCTGATTACAAATGTTACAAATATGTAAATATTGACCTTTGTAAAGCTGCGTGTCAGTTTCTTTTACATTTCTGTTTTTAAGCGTGAGTTGACAGATTTTTTTAAAAACGGTAATGTGTCGATGTAAGGACTTCACTTATTGTGTCAGTTTTTTTACACTATCGCTGTATTTCAATTTCAAACATAAAACTTGTGTTGATGCCGTCAACAAACCTGTGACCCTGACATTGACACATTTGTGTGAAAAACACCACAGTGTGTAAGGTTTATGCCACAGCTGCCCTAAATTAACAATATTGATAAACACCAAAACTGTTCTTTAAGTTTCTGTTAAGTAATAAAACTTTCCTTTTCGCTAAAGCATATAGTTAGGGCTGGACCAGGTGACCCTGAATCATAGCTGGATGGTGGGCCGCTGGCGATTTTTTGTTTTTATGGGCCGATGGATTTTTTTTTTTTTTTAGGAAGGGTATATATAATGAAAGGTGTTGGATTGGCCAATTGGTCATGATCGACTCTGGGCTGGACCAATTACAGCCGAGGAGGCCGGATGCACCCCCCCCTTGTTTAGCAATCACGTGATTTTCGCGCATTGCATGCCGGGAACTCGTGGCAAAACAATCCAAGTACCGCATCAAATGCAAGCATTTGCAGCACCGCAAAACGTTCATTCTCCGGTTCCAATACTTCTTGTTTTTTCTTTGCCGCACAAAAAAGGAATGTACAAAACAAAAGGAGAACAATGCCGGTCCGTACAAAGACAGACTCGACGAAAAGACAAAGAAAAGATACGAGGAAAAAATCAAAGGAGTGAAAGGGTCAGACCCTTACGAGCACACAGAGTGGACAAAAGACGTTAGCGTGCTGCCCAACTTTCACCACGCTCATTTTATAATATACGTTCTTGGAGTGAGTGCATACACTCATGAAGTTTAGTAACTTCAGGTCACTGCAACAAGCCCAGGTACAGTTTACCGACGGATGGGTGCAGGACCTTGAAATGCACCGTGTAGAAAGTAAAGACCATCGTACGTATCATAAGTTTACCAGTCTCACAAATCGTCGTCATAAATACACATTCGTTAACCGTTTATTAATAGGACCTTTGAGCTCAACGGTAATTAATTAGTAGTGGAAATAATTTCTGGTAGCATCACAGAAATGTAGCAGTGACAATAATACTGTATGCTGTAATCGACTGGGCAATTAGTGATACAAAACAACTGTTTTATCCTGTGAATAAAAGTATATGTTTTTGTCAATGTACCATAATAACAGAAGCGAAACCAATATTGTGTCAGGACAATTCACTATTTATGCACAATAAATAAAGGAGCATAGCGCGACAATTTCTGTTCAGCGCCAGACTTGCTTGTAACCTATATCACCAATTATGTTAAGAAAAATGACGTATTAACTACTACAAAACTCTGACCTTTGTGGGAATGCTTGGAGCAGACTAACCTGTGAGCTGGAGTGTTCTGGGACGTTATATTTGGTATATCCAGACCATCCGTCGGCTCTTACTTCGGAAACATGGCTTAAAAATTTCTCTTCAACGACGTAATCCGATTAAAAAAAACGATCGGCTTCCCGTGGCTGTCATGCGACCGGCTTTGCAGTTAATAATACAACAGCTTCTTGCCATTTTTTGGGTTTCTTTTTATCGCTGTGTAACTGAGTTCAATTGAAAGCCTGCGTGCGCTAGTACCTCTTGCCACAAGTTCCCAGAATCCTTTGCGGTTTTACCCCTGAATGACGTCACATTTTCAATCTTTATCCTGGTGGGCCGGTCTCTAGTCAAAATGCCCGGGCCGATTTTTTGTCCCAGTCCAGCCTTGCCCTGAATCCTCCCTTAGTTATGCTGCAATAGACGTAGGCTGCCGGGGGATTCCCATGATGCACTGGGTGTTTCTTCTTCACTCACTATGTGTTAACAGACCTCTCTGCACTGAATCATATCTGTTATTAACCTCTGTCTCTCTTCCACAGCATGTCTTTATCCTGTCTTCCTTCTCTCACCCCAACCAATCACAGCAGATGGCCCCGCCCCTCCCTGAGCCTGGTTCTGCTGGAGGTTTCTTCCTGTTAAAAGGGAGTTTTTCCTTCCCACTGTCGCCAAAGTGCTGCTCACAGGGGGTCATATGATTGTTGGGTTTTCTCTGTATGTATTATTGTAGGGTCTACTGTACAATATAAAGCGCTGTGAGGCGACTGTTGTTGTGATTGGATTTCAGATTGTTATTTGCCTGATAAATAACAATATAATATTTAGATTTTGAACAAGTTTTTAACAGATTTCTAAAATACACATTTTCTTGCTTTTATGAAAGGTTGTCTAATAAATTTGCTGAGCACTGTAGCTGCTCAGCAGAACTTCACTTGGCAGCAAGGTGATTTGTGACACACTACATGAGAACTAAGTGCAAAAAGTCCAATGACTGTTCTAAACAAAGAGCTGCTTTCTCTGAATATCTAAAAGGGGAACTGTATAGTTATGGTAATAATTAAAAATAAGACTTTTAGAAATCTTGGAGGATAAGTAGTAAAGATACTGGCTTGAGTTTGAGACTTATGTGGACTGCACCGACTCTTAGAACATATAAATATAAAACATGTGGAAAAGCATATCGCCACACGTGCCTTTATAGTAAGCCCACTGACCAGAGAAGTGATTACTATGATCTTGTTACTGTGTGCCTCTTCTGGGAAACTCCTGACATTCATATAGATTCCCCTCCCCCTTTTCCCTAATTACTCCGACATTCTCCAACAGCAGCTGCTGGCTGAGCAGGACACACACAGCTCACAACGCATCACATTTGTAGGTCTTCATGTTACTTTACTCTTTACTGCTGGCTACACTGTATCCCAGTCTTATATTGCACTTTAGTCTTGCATGGCTTTCAATGCATTATTTTTGTTTTGTTTTTTAAATCACCAGTTATGTAAATTGTATTTCCTT